GATTTTGTGAGTGATCAAGCTCCCTCCCTAGCCAATCGCAGCGCCCCAGGAGTCTGTCGGAAAGCCACCTCTGCTGCAATTGTGCGCATTTAACTTCTGTAATGCTATAGGTTAGGAAAAAAAATTCCAGTGAGGGTAAAAATTGCTTTATCTTGTGTATGAATCTGTCAGCAAATGGTGGGTGGACCAGTACCGCGATGGCTTGAGCCGCACCATCATCATCATTATTATTACTTTCCGTATATTCGCTGTTCCTGCTTTGCGTGTCAGCCCCTAGCCCCCCTTGTGGTTGTCACTCTGTGTCTGGTAGAAACTGATCCGGATGCAACAGCATTTACATGCTTATATAAGCCTATCCCCTGTCATGTTCCGTTGGCAAACATCTTTGAAGGCTTGTTTGGAGGCATCGCTTAACACGGCAGTTACGAGGGTGACATGTGTGATGCCCCGAGTTTCACAACTATGTGACATGTGCCAAATCATGCATGGCGCACTAAACGATTTACGTTAAGTTGGGAGATGACCTTTGATAGTTAATCTAGGAGTCATCAGATTTGTTTTTATTTCGTGGACATCGGCTTAATTGCCGGAAAAAAAGCACCATTAGTTGGTGTGGAACAACAGGGCTCTGGAAGGTGGAATGGTCCCTTCCTACTTTCAAGTTTACTGCGACGACACAGTTGCTCTCAGTGTTTGACTGATCATAATAAGGAGACTTTATCTAAGGCCGATGTTAATTTGTCTACTAGTTTCAACATAAGCAGGTGTTGAGTGGATAATTTCACTCAATTTTCTTACCATTCTTGCCATTCTATAAGGCACCTGTGAAAGTGATTATATTTTTGTGTAAGAGGTAGAGGGTTTTAGGTCTACGCCACCACGCTGTCGTCGATGCACGGCAAGGTTTATCCCTGAAGGCCTCATGGGGCAGGCGAATTTGGAAGTTGCAGAGTAGATGCGAGATCAGTTCCATAGTGGTGGAATAAGTAGAGTCCACTTAATTTTTTCTGCATTTATTACAAAATTTCCTTCTACACAACTTTTTAAAGATTTTGGCCCGAATTCAGGAAATTTAAGCCAAAGATAATAATTTTTTGACAAGAAACAGCTCAGGTGTCAGCGGTGAACCGACCACTTCAATTCAGATTTCTTTTTTATCTAATGCATGATATCAAAGCCTGTCCTAGCTAACTGACAAACACCTCAGTTACTCTTTAAAAATTCAATCAATCTGTTTATGACACATGTATTGAGGCGGCATAGACTGGTTGAACATGTGTCACATATTTGTGACGTTTAGAGCGAAGAAAGCAAACCGAGGCAACGAACTTGAAGTAATTAAAAATAAAATTCCTTAAACATTCAGTACTTCAGTTCCATCATTCGTTCTTTGACAAGTGGCCTGCTTCGATTCCCCTCTATCTCGTAAACTTCTTCGTGGTGCGATAAGCAACATTCTGAAGACGTGTGGGCTGGGAGGGAGAGAGAGTGGTAGGGCCAGTGGGTTACGGACTACCGGATGACATTTCCCATCGCCTGAATGTTTATGCAATTCGACCAATCTGGGAAAGTGGCTTTAAGTGTCCGAATTTTTGGTACCAGTCCATAACCATTTTGGCGGCCTCAGCAGAGGGATGCACCTGCTTGTGGGTAAGGTCTTGCAATAATTCTACAATCTTAGGTACTGAGGTTAATTCTGTGGCAGTGATTAGCAGAGGTTGTTTAAATGCAGTCTTTTTTACTGTGTTGGATGCTTATGCGATTTTTTGTTCAAGATTATTCAAATACCTGCATTCTAACACAAGCTTCTTCGACGTCTCGTTCACACTGACATTGGTTACCCCATATTAAAAATTCTTACTTCAAAATTTGCCAAAATATGACAATTTCGATATGAATTAATATGATACGCGAAAATTAGCCCTCAAAGAGATCGACCCTTTTCAATTAACCAACCACAGTGGGAGCCTTGATCGCAACGCCAGCTTGTCAGTTTGATTGGTCAATCGCATCGACTCTGAAAGCGAAACATTTATCGTTTTGCGTAGACTAATCTTTTTCATAAATACTCAAATTAGTTAACTATTATTGGCATAGAAAATTATCAAATGCTGTATACATCACCGAAGACCACTTTTTCCAATCCAGTACTTGGACTCTCAACCGTCAAGACTCCGCAAATCTCTCATTACTCCCTAAGATAAATGTATCGGCTAACACTAAATCATCAAATTAATTTGTCTTATTAGCCGAGATCTATGCACAGGCTTGTGCCGAGTTCAAGATCAAAAGTGCCTCCTAGGACAGCTAGTTTGACATTAATCTATCGCATTACATCACGGATGCTCCAAAAACGCTTCAAAGAAGATGATCAAAAGGGGGACATCGATTAGCCAATCGCGTCTTAGCGTTTAAGGCAAAATCACTTTAGTCTATGAACCAGTTTTTAAAACGTTCATTTTAAAGTATGCTGAAAAATCACATGCAAAACTACATTTTCTGACCTTGTGTATTTTCAATTGAGGTAACTAGCTCATTTCCTGGTTTACGTCTAACTTCGCACTTCCATTCAGAGAAGTCAGATGCCAATAAAAAATGGGCGTAGTGACACTCACAACAGTACCGAATCAAAATAACGTGTCACCGGCAGCCGCGTTTTCAATTGGTTGAAATTAAGGAACAAATCATATGAAGGAATTGAGTCCAACAAACAAAGTGATTGGCCAATCACAGAAGCGTGTGAGAACGTAGGGTAAACCAACTTTCTAAATAAGATATGCAAATTTTGAAACACGATTTTGCTTTTCAGCAGTTTTTCTTTGTCTCCTGTTTGGAGGACGTCGGGCTTCATCCTCCCCTCCCGCCAGCGATGCAACAGATCTTGTGGAAACTTTGATTGATTACCTTCTAAACGTTTTACGATTAACGCTGCCTGAACCGATGAGTATGAACAAGTCACCAAAAGGATTGATCAGCGTAGAGAACGCCAGCATTTACGGTTTGAATTATGCTTCCCGTGGTTGTCCGATAGCTTTAAAAGTCCTCTCAACACCCACAGCTGACCTAATTAGCGGTACCCTCTGCATTGACTTGAAGGATTTCTTCAAAATTGATGCAATCTTCAAAATCTCCACCTTTTTCTATGACTCGGATCCAAATCCCGCTACTCTACAACTATTCGACTTCATAGTGCGTCTCAATGTTACTCTGACTCTGCCCAAAATTTATCAGGAAGAGTCAGGAGCTCTGCTTAAATTAGACGGTACTCCAACAGTGGAAATGAGTAGCTTAAAGTTTATACCACCACCAAATGCTGATACACATGATACCTTCAACTTTATCACGGATTTAGTAGGCACCCTTTCTGCTGGGCCAATTGGTGGCTACATTGAGATGAGAATGGCAGAAGCTGTCCAGAAGGCCCTCGGACAAATAAATAAGTCAATGCAGAAAAGTGTGGCAAAATTTGTGAATCCAAGTGGATCATAACTCCTACCTTTTTGAGAAAAGAACTGAAACTCCCTCCTTTGATAAATAGATACCATTTCGATTAAAAAACTTAGAATGTTTCTAAGCGTGTCCTTTAAGAATTGTTAGTCTGGTTCTCGACTGCAGCAGTGGTAGATCCATGGAAAGGTTTGACATCTTTGAACCGGGTGGAAGGCTGATAGGGCAAAATTTTAACAGACTTGTCCCAGGGATCGAATTTCGCGTGTCTTAGATGGTATTCATGAATACGCCCTGAAAGCAGAGTGGAATGTGGATTAGATTTTAAACCGTAATTTACGTTTATGCAGAGGTGACATCAAGGTGCTGCACCGTTGGATCTATCGCTTATGCTCCATGGGATGTTGCGAATTTTACCTTATTTAGCACCTTTTTATACTTGATAGGATTCAAATACATGCTACTGAAATCATTTAAGCCACTACCAATCATTCTTCACTACTTTTATTGACAAATTAAAGTGTAAGGTAACCGAAGAGGTTTGCGCGGCTTTTTATGACAAAAATCAAATGAATTAAGAATGCTTTTTATAAAACTTTCCCGGTTGAAACAGACTATTGCAGTCTAAAATTCATTCCTAATGGGACGCTAGCCTGACAATTCCACCTTTATGCCAGATTTTGCCTCGGGAATTAAGCGATCTATCTCACTCCTATTTACTACTCGTTTATTTCAGTAGTGGCTATTTGCTGTTGAGAGAACAATCGTTGGTTGGCAAATGTAATTAAAAGGAATAGGAGGCCGGGATAAGATACGACCTCTTCTAGGGGGTGAGCTTTGCGTCATTATGAAGTACCCCATTACTCTTCAAAAACACCACGCTCTTCCGACCGACTAGCCAGTTGTGAATCCTTTCGAAAGACGCTCATGTTATGCACGCTCGAGTTTGGTTTTATCGAGTATATATATATATATATATCGCAATTGTTTTTAATGTTCAGTACAATAAATGAGCCGTGTCCGCGGTCTACCTCACCTACACACACATTTCTGGTCCTTCGAAGATAAAGTGATGGGAATTGGAGTGGTAAGTTGATCGTTTCACTTTAAAAGTTAGTTGGGTTGCAGTGCGAAATAACTTTGTGGTCCTTGGAACTTTGTGCTAACCAATAATTGTTGGTAGGCGGCATTCATTTACTTGGCTTCCAAGACTCCTCCAGTTCGCGGAAGTGCACCCAAACTAAGGCTTCGCTCATTTTACTACACTTACTTCTCAATTGTGAGGTGTGGTAGATCTGACTTCTCATGATGGGTAGTCTTCCAATGATTCACATCAGAATCAAGTTACTTAAGTCACCTTCTTCAAAGGCTCCGCAGCAGGAAGCTAGCTCTCCTTTCACCCTAGACAACCAAGTTAACCCCGACTTTTAAAGGAAGTTATCTTGAAACACATCCTTTAAGCCCAACCGACATTTGATGAGGCATATGGAGGGGAGTAGGGCAGGGCCTACTGAGAGTTTAAGCACTCACTCAAATTAGGCAACTCGATCTTTCTCCAGAAATAAAACTGACTTACATTCGTGTGGATATAGGAGGTTCTGTTGAATTTCAGCTCCACTTGCCCTTGCAAACTTTTCGAAAGCTTCGATAAGCTGTTCTTGGTCCGTATCTTTATTCTTTAAAAAAATGAACAGCAAGTGGGGAATAAAATGATTTTAGTGCAAATTACTTTTTAAGACAAACTTAATGTTATTGCGACCGTGAGATGCGTACATAATAGCACTTTGTTTTGACAAGTTTGGTGATTTGTGCCATTCTCCCTACCGTGTTGTGTAAATATTACTATCAAGGGATTCCAGATTTTTTAATTCAATGAAAATCTAGGATACGACGAATAGATGAATGGATGGATACAGGGTAGATGAATGGATGGATACAGGATAGATGGATGCGAGATAGACAGTAGATGGGTACGGTTGAAGGTGCAAAGTGGATACGAAATGAATAGAAGGATGGGTATGAGGTGGATGCAAGGACAACAGATGGATAGCCTTCCCACTGTCCCCTGTGAAATTCAACTTTTGCTTCCCTGCTTCTTTAACTTACGATGCAATAAACTAATTCTTCGTATTGCAAAAAATATGGAACTGGAATTAGCATGCTCAACACTTTTCCTAATTTTGCTCTGGGAAAAATATTTTCGAACGGGAATGTAGAAAAAACGGGTTTCGGTTTCTCTGGCGCTATTTTCAAGAGAAATGAAACGCATTTGCATCTAGATAACTAGTTCTACAGCAATATCTATCCATTAATTGTTTAGAATTAAGTAAGGTCATTTGAGACACAAGTCCAGACTCTCTTGTTTTAATTCCACGTCTGCACTCACCGCATCCTTGTCGCAGCTGATGGCGACTTCTGCAAGAACGTCTAACTTGAGACGTTGATCAACGTGTTCTCGGTACTCACGAGCGCATCGTTGCATGTGATCAACTAGTGCTTCAAAAGTTTCCATTGAAAGAGGTCGGACAAGCGCCATCACGTACTAAGAGGTCAGAGATGGGTCACCAGTTACCAGCCATAAAACTTCCCACCACATTTTACCAGCAAAGACAAACTTAACTAAGGTAATGGTCCTTAAAAGCAAGAAAACTTCTCCAATAAATAAATTAGAAAAGCTGTTTCACTCGCTGTTATGAACTCGGACTGAACGTAGCTTTCCACGTTTTCATTCACGGGTTCCGCGTGAACGAGAGGTCGTTCAATTAGCAACAAATCTTCGGGTAGGTTCATAGCAATGTGAAGAAACGATCGAATAGATTTCTGAACCTTATAAAACAAAAGGACGGGGGATTAAAAAAGTGATTAGTCAAAAGGCTATCTATTGTTTATTTAAAACCATCCAGAATAATCTTGATACGTCGCCTTAAACGAGTGTACGATTTTTCAGTGAAGGCAAGAAACTTCAGCTTACAATTACAGCATTCACAGTCTTCTGGCCCTCAAGCCTAAAGCAGTCAAACACTGGATCCAGTCGTCTTCTCTTCTCATCTAATTTCCTTTCCTCCTGTTCTTTTAACACCTCTAAATCTAACTTCCTCTTTTCCGCAGCTGCCGTAAATTTTGCCAACTCTGTATCCGACTTGAGGAAGAGGTCCTGCTTCAATAACTCTAAAACCTGTCGCATTCCACGCGCGTAGGGTGTTAAACAGATGTTTCCCGTTAGGTTGTCATATCTCGGATTGTTACGCATCAAAAACTCTGCTAGACGATTGATTGGATTGAAGTTAACGCCCACTTGTACAAAGGTTGCTTCTTCTTCACTGGTCTCATCTCCGGCAAGCTTGCATAACCCACGCTGGTCTGCTTCACGAAGAATATGCTCCAGGCCAAGGATAAGAGTGGGGATGAGATGTTCGGCAAGGAAAGCACGGACCTCGGCAGAAATTGTGCAATTTTGCAGCCACTGGTATGAGAGAATGTCAATAGGAATGCGCTGAAGTAGCCATTCAACATGATCAACTAGAGCTTCTTTGATTCGCCGGCGGTCTTCGCGTTGGTAGGAAAGAAGGCGGACAAGAAAGAGCTCTTCGTTATACAGACGCTCGCGGAGGGCGGTAGTATGGATGTGGATCTGGGGAGGTTGAAGTTGACTACGTGGTTCTTCTCCATGAGTGTGAAAGCGCTGAGAGAAAGGAAAGCCCTTAGCGAGTTCATCTACGGTCTTGCGGGCACATCTGTCATGGTCACCCATCTTGGACTTAAAACAAATTTAAAACTGTATTAAATCACCGTTGTTTCACTCAGAACTCGAAGTCATATGTCCCTTTCTTATGTAAATATTCATGCTTCCAAAAAAAGAGCTTTAATGGTTTAATCTAAAAAATCTAGTATTTTCGATATTATATGTTTGCGCACGATATTATTAACAATAATAAAAAGCAAAGGAGCATTCACTTCTAAGTTGCTTTTCTGCTTGAAATCCGTATGCATAGTTGTTTGTTTTATATTGCTTATGTCAAACATGATAAGAAAACCTTGGAAAAATCAGAAGACTAAGTCGTAACCTGCTATATAATTTACTTCAAAAGTGGTTCCAAGTCATGAACAAACAAGGTGATATGCTAACATTTCTTGCGATTCAATCAATCCAATCATAAATAGAGTTCATTTATCAAAACAAAGCATGATCAACGCATAAATTTTAACTCAAACCTCAAAATAGGTTAAACAAATTTGCAGATTACTACATATAGCCTTCCTATTTGAGTGCGTAATTTGGAGCGTAAAGAGTATTCTGGGTCTTTTATACACACACATTGCTACATAGCCAATCACCAATATGCATATTTTAAAGGCTCTTCCTACAGCTGATTCATTAATATTGTATGCAAAAATTGTGTAAGAACAGGAAAACAAGAGGGGTGCTTCAACCCATTGAGCTTTAAAGCGACGCTAGCCTGATGTCATAGCATTGACCTTGACTTGCTACATTTGATCCGTGTTCAATATTTTCTGAGTGTTTATCAGTATTTACACACTAGCGACTTGATGTATAATTACATATTAGACGCACTTACTAGAAATGCAAAAGAGCGTTTATGACGCCGAATTTATTAAAAAAATAACTTTTTTTAGAATCAGGATCACCGCTGGCATTCGTCAAATTCGCCTTCGAAGGCCATTGCTATTACACCTAATTCTTGTACTGTTTTTGGTTCTAAAGTAAGAAGTTAGATTCTCCCCTAGAGGATTGGCTTTATTTTTTTTAACAAGCATATTATTAAGTAAAATCACCACTGAAGCAGTTAGCTTTGAAAAGACAAAGAGAGGTATTAAATTTTGTCGCATGCTGTACTTTGTCATTCAACTGATTCTCGATTTTGATTGAAGGGTAAATGCCAGTAAATATTGCTGGTTAACTGCTTTTCTGTTTCTTGAATACTACTGCCCATCTGATTCCCGGTTCTAGCATAGCTTGTTAAAGCAGACAATTCTTCCCGCAGAAACTTGCCCTCCAGCCCTATAATCCCGCTTGAATGAGATACTTCACAATTCTCTTTCACTGCTGAAATAGTAAAAGTGCACCTCGTCTACCAGTTCCATGCCAGGATGGATGGAGCTGGACTTACGCATTCACAACCAGCTTAGCAGGAACTGAAATGTGATGGGAGGAGGAAATGTTTAGGTGGTTGACAGACATTTCGTAAAAAAACACGTGGTGATTGCTCTTGGCATCCCTTCTCTTTCACGTCGCCTATTGATTCACACTCGGTGAGATGACAAACCAATCGCCACATTGCTCCAAATGCAATTAAAGAGTTACGTCGGTCTCTATCAACCCTCCAAGGTCACCTTAATTTGCTGCTTACAAATCGGAATTCCGCTGACTGTTTCTACTTCACGTAGGTGCAATTGCCGAGCGGAGATGGGGCTCCGGCTAACGTAATCATCTCTCATTGGCACTTTTTGCATGGAAGAAAAGGTCCCAATGTCTAGCGACCAAATTCTTATCGAAGTGTAGTAGGGAGAGAGAAAAATTCAAACGCATAAAAGACCCTTTTAACTTCTTGGCCTTCGTGATTGAGGTCAGTACTTTGGTGGCTTGGCCCACATCCATTTCTCTGTTTATACTACTTCGCCTGATAAGGTCTTTAAAAAAACCAAGAAATAATGCACTGACGGTAGCGGTGAACAAACCTGCTTTAAGGGATAAATCGTCCTGAGTTCATTTGCATGACCACATTCTCTATCAGTTCAACAGCCTTCATGACGTCAGGGTGCTCAATGTAACTACGTAGCCGCACAAACCCTCCGAGTGGCTAATCAAAGGGAACTCAAAACACCACCGCAAACATTTCTAATCTACACATTTAGATCAAAAATGAATCTAATCCGTCTTGATTAGTTGGTAGTCAGGTTCTCCTTATACACGAGTTCCGAAAAGTCAAAAAATCCGGGAGAAATCTCTACATACATATTTGGACGGGAGGAAGTAACGCGTCCTGCCCAGGGAATGTCAATCGACTTCTTTACCCCTTGAAATTTAGTACACTAGTGAACACCCTAGGGCGACAACTAGTGTGAACACTCCAATCAAGTGGAATGCCATCCTGTTTCGGGAGCAATTATTTTTTAGAGAGGTGCGTGACCTTGACTAGAAAAAGAATCCGCACATTATCAACTCATTCTGGCAGTACTCTTTGTCTTCACCAGGGTTTAGTATAGTGCCTCTGCGTAATCTTTGGCCAGTAAATTTCACACTAATCCGCGTTTTCTTACACGGCGGCCGGTCGCCGGGGTACTCCATTGGTTAATCTCAAGGTCATATCTGGTAGTGACCCAACGAAGGGTACGGCGAGCACCGCTTAAATACCCTAACAACATGCGGATTCTTTTTGTGGTCAAGATCACACGTCCCGAATACCTGTGAAAACATGACGATGAAGAAAATAAATACCCAAGTAGTCCGACGATAAACGGGTTCATTTTTGGGTCAAGGTCACACAACCCCGAACACCTCTGTGAAGTATGCGTGAATCGAGAATTTTGAAAATGACTGCACTGCTGATGAGTCGGAAGCCCAATACTGCGTAAGTAGTAAGAAGGACATCTCTAAAATTGGCAATCAGCAAATAAAGAGGTCCCTCCCCCAGAGGCTAAAAGGGAGCGGCTGGATGCACCCACGGTCGGGTTTAGGGCCCTCCACCGCATACGGAAAAGTCTAAGGCACACCCCTTTGTCTCTAGAAGTAGACAGCCGCATTCGAAGTCAGACGTAATTGTTCAGTGTCAAGAGATGCACGATACTCATCAGTAGGAGAATTGCCAACAGGGAAGGAGGGCGAGGCAAGGCACCATCTCCCACTGGAGCCATTCTAAGTAAAGTTCGAGTCCGCTTACGGGTTAGGTTTGCAGTGATGTGAGATCCCGTAAATTTGTCAGCTCTTGCCCATCACCAGCCTCTTTTCCATCTGAAAGCCACAAATGCATCCAATGAAGCATGGCGCATGGTCCGCCTTCCCACGACAAAGCGGTATGCGCCTTAGGGGTGAGGGGGAAGGCAATCGCGATGACCAATAACAGAAGGCACTCCTCATCACAAAACAACAGACAAATCATATAAAAGAAAAAAATAAGCGAAGAAAGTGAAGAACAAATTGACAGTCTTTCAAGTCCATTGCCATCTTCTAGTAGATGGCAACTGGGTGGGGAACCAGTTTTTTGGCTACCGCGACTTCCCTGATACACACAAGTGGACGTGAAATTTGTTGCCAATTCGTCACCTTCTGTATTACTACCAAAATAGCGTCTCCCTGAACCGGAGGCATCATCAGATGGTAGTTTATAAACAGAGCCCAGCTGTATTGGTTACCTCCTAGGTGGTTGTGGGTTACGCCGCCACACCGGCTCGCCACGAAGCGTTTTGCAACTTCACCACCGATTTTGCAGATCATAAGGCAGACAAGCTCGACAGTTTACAATAGAAGTTTAAAATAAGTGAAGACACAAATGATGGAAGCGGCACCTATTTAGGGTCATTGGAGGGAGAGGAATTGGCCCCTCCAGCCTCGACGAACAGACTCAATGCTTGCAGTCTGTCAGATAAATAGACGGAGTCGTCGGCAAAGGGAAAATTAGTGGGGAGATGAAAAGGTGTGAGTCGAGAAAATAAAGCGCATCCAGCGCACCATCACAATGGACTTTGGAAGTCTATTCTCTCTAGCCTTCTGGAGTTCATGACAAACAACAAAAATGGTGGTATCCCCTCCGTGTGATAGGCCGCACAACCCGATGCTGGCAACTGCGGTGGAAGTTAGTACTACAAGCATAATTACCTACTAAGGCTAAAATGCCAAGTTTTAGGGGAATTATTGATGCTGTAAATCATATGGGAGGTCAATTTTACATTGAATAAGAAGCAGAATTCAGAAAAAAATAGAATGCAGAAACATGCGAGCGAATTTCACAACTCTACTGACTGTCCCTCCCACCCTCCCCCAGCACCTTTGACTAACGGTTCATTGTAGCCCACTTCATTGGACTCCAAT